TTTTGTGTGTGCGCTGTACAGGTCTGGTATAAAGAATGTTTTTGCTCAGGTGGCCGAAATGTCCGCCCAATAGAGAAAAGTTTTGCTCAGCAAGAAAAAAAATTAGAGGGAACATTGATGTCTGCATATTACTCCAGACTGCTTTCTGAACGAGTGACAATTCAAGGCAGGTTTTGCTAAAAAAGTTCAAACTCAAGGATGGATCAGTACCCACTGTTCATTATCCAGCTGCACCTCCAGAAGAAACAAGTCTCACATTCGCCTTTCCCATGGAAGTGAGGGGCGGGGTGAGCAGAGCTCATTAGCATTTAAAGGGGTGGTTCACTGGTTTTTTTCTAGGCTTGATTGTGTTTATGGGGTGCAGTCTAACATGTGTTAATGCTTCGTTTAAAAAAAACTCATTATTTTTCACATAATTTACCTAATTTCCACACAGCTCTGTCCCTTCTCTGAGAAACGGGCTGATCTTTATTGGTTAGCTAGCCCAGTGTGTTGTGATTGGCTAAACCGCCTCTAGTACGTGTCTAAACGTCCCGCCCCTCTCCTCAGCGGCATGTGCTCCGGTTGTATTGTAAACAAGGCGTCATTATCAGTTTGAGCCCGATTGAAAAGCAGAGGATATTATTGAAAGGGATCGTGCAGAACCTGTGCAAGCATGGCTTTTAATGGTACGCCTATGTTTTGCATGGCCTCGCCCCCTTTGCTGCCTTTTCCCGAGGGCGGGGTTTATCAGGGTTTGTGATGTCACGAACCCGGGAAGTAACTCGTTGTAGTCCCTACCAGCCGTTTTTGTAGACATTAAACTACCAGAAATTTAAAAGACGATATCTCCGTTTGCACTGAACTTTCAGCTTTGTAACTTTGCAGATATTGTTTATGCTCAAACAGCAACATTACACACTAACTAACGTTAAAAAAGTTCAATCGCAATCAACCACCCCTTTAAAGAGACACGCACCGAAACGGGTCGCTGTGAACGGAGCTGTTTTTGACAAGATAAAAAGGGTGTTGTTTTATGAGGAATTTTAACCAACGTATGTTATAGACTTTTCATGAAGACCCTAAAGAATCATACCAACTTGTGGAAAGTGGGCATCCGATGTCCCTTTTAATGCAATATTATTTCATTGTTATACCATTAATAATTAACTTATTTAATTTGTAGTTAACTAGTAGTATTTAAATTAGTATTAGTAGTATTTAAATAATAGTATTTAAATAATTTACCCTTCTAGGCTGTTGGTGTCTTTTTTAAATGACGTGAGGCTTTGTGACTTCCTGGAATTGCTATACTTCATACTTCAGTACAGTAAAAGTACTAAAATTTGTTATATTAGTAATTTCATAATAAATACAAAAGCAAAACGTGAAAAAAACAATAGGGAGTTGAAATGGCAACTGCTAATGAATGATCCTCTGCTGTCATCTATTGGTTATAATGGTAATTTCATGTCAGTTTCATCTTAAAAGTCTTTGTTTTCCGCCAAAAAACAATTTTGCCATATTTTTTCATGTCATCTTTATAAATGAAAAGTGAATCTTTAAAGTGAATTTTACTGCACAGCTGTAGAGTTGAGAAATAATTAAGGCTTTAAAACATTATAAGCCTAAGTGTTTTTAAAAAAAAGCGTTCATGACTATGAAGGTCAGTTATTGAATATCAAGAATAGCATTATGATGTAGTTTATGAGATAGCATCATTAGCTGGCTTACGTTAGCCTAAACAGTTACGATAGTGTTTAGTTGTCAGCATTTAAATGTACAATTACGTGTCTGGGTACTGGATATATGATGTTGAATGTTGTTAAATAACATGAAACTGTATGTTAATGCCGCTATCATTATTTACGGTGTTGCAATTATTTTGTTTCACGCGGAACGCGAGGAAAGGAAATGAGGATGCACAAATAAGAAATGAGAGTACCCTTCATGTGCACTTACGGTCTGGTGGATCTACAATGGCCCTCGAGTGTGTGTGTCTATTAAGTCCACGAGACCGTAGGGTGTCCCAATCTTCATTTTAGCTTTCAAAAGGGTGTTTGCGAGCGTCCCGCTTTGCGGCCGCTATGTGCCCTCTATGCGCACTTCTGCCGAATCCGCACTGAGGCGAGCCCCGCAGTAGACTTCTACCCGACAGCCAAAGCGGCATTACATCATGAAAGTGTGGATTTAATGGACATGCACACATGGCGGCCATTGTAAGTCCGCAAGAGTGCAAGTGCACATGAAGTGTGCCATTTGGGACAAGGCCTCAGAGGAAGACCGCAAGGGTTTAGGGTGCGATTTGAGACAGGGCCTAGTTCTCGCGGTACTTTGATGTCATACACTGATCGGTCTTTGCAGTGCCGCTTCAAGTCGAACACACCTAATGATACTCACCCTGCGTCCCAATGTTCATACTATCAATCCTAAATAGTATGTGAGATTAGAATAAGTGTCTCCCAAAGCATAGTATGTTAAAAAGAGTATGCCAAAAGTCCCAAATAGGATGGTCTACTATTTCAGGTCGATTTTTGAAGTGTGGATCCGTGCACACTCTAATGGCTAATATTACCCACAATCCATTGTGCTTTGAAGAATGATTTGGTTGAGAACTACAAACACGAATAAAAAGTGTTAAAAAACTACAAACATGATGGATGTGTGCGACCGACGGTTAAGTAGAGAGGTGTAGATAAAGAGGTTTGAGTTACTAATAATCAACATTTAACCTGGTATAAAATATTTTTATGTTATCTGTGTTATATTTCATCTGCAACAACAATGTAAACTTTTATAAACATCCGTTTGTTCGTTAACTTTTAAATGCATCATTATGCAGAAAATATTAGCAGAGTTCTCCGCATGAAGACCAGCGGCTCGCAGATCAACGTGCTACTTCTTTTCTCTCCAATATGGTAGGAAGTTAAATAATATGAAATGTGGAGGATATAAACTGTGATACGATGATTGACAGGCCAGTTTACACTGACAGGATGCATGTAACTGTGCGACAGAGCGGTCTGTTAAAGATGCTATTGTATAACGTGATAGTATGTCCCAAAGCTTGCCTACTCTTCTACTACACACTCAAAAGTGTGTACTTTTTCTTCACCAAAAAAGGGCGTAGTATAAGTAGGCACATTGGGACGCAGCATCAGTTACACGTAGACCCCGCCCCGCAGCCGATTTCACTGGTCAACTCAGTCACGTCACCTGTCAACAAAAGTTCAGAGGATTCATGGATTTCAGTTTAGACTTAAAAAAAATCGTGTATGGATATGATCGGCGGGGTTTGCGCTTAACTGGTTTTTGTTTAACACTCGACTAAAAAACAGTTGTCCTGAGAAATTAAAAACGTCTCTGAAACCCTTGAGTTTTAGCCAATCAAAAAAGTTCTTTGCCTGTCAATTATCCTGCACAGTCGGGTTTATCGCAATCGGGTTGGCGTCACGTCTTTCGAGGCTTTTTTTAAGCATTGAGGGATGATATAAGTGTGGCGGTTTAATTCAGAAGTCTAACAGAAGCAAGCAAACATAATTGAAATTGCAAACAGCATATTTAATGGCACTTTTAAGTATTTTACAGTTTCCCATTAAAAATAGCAACTGTTAAACAGGATATCATAGATCTTAATTTACATATTGCGTTTTGAAAAACTTCTGTCATCAAAAAGCCTTGCCTACTTTTGTTATACTTTTGAACTGATTATATTGACCTGCTAGTAGCCTGCATAATGATGAACAACCTACAATGGTCCAGGCTTGTCCAAGAGCACTGCAGGTGTTGATAACCTTAGCAACCTGCTAATGTAAGGCAGTACTCCCAAGTTTGAGAAACTTTTTTGCAAACATGCAAACTCATCATCACGCTATGAAAAGGTAAAGATCAATTAAGCATTCTTTTAGAGCATCATTTAGAACTAATTTGATTTTTTTGTGATAGACAAGTTAAGCATTTTCATATGCACTTTGAATATCAGTCATATATATATATTGTAGCGAATCAGCTCATGGGGAAATATGAATAATTAATAATAACTAGTTATAATTAATTATAAATATGGTAGGGGGTGTTCCTCACCACACCTGGGCAGTCCTCTTTGGTCTGCATTCTGGGCAGTTAGTCTGAGCATCTGCAACATTTTGGCAAACTTGTGTTGAGAGTAAAGTCTAGAGACTACTACAAGATCAAAAAAGAGTGTGGAGCTAGGTTTTACAGCTAGGGTTTTGCCAGGTGTGCTTAGCTGAAGTATTAGGTTATTATCTTAGCTGTGAATGCTAAGATAGGTTTGGGTCAGCATATGTTTGCTGAAAAGGGCGTAAACAGGGTTTTGATTGATGACTTAAGACTACTCTTATTGTCAAATTATCACTCAGAATTTACTGACGGTTCCCAACAGGCTCAATCTCTCAGCAAGTGAAATAGAAGAGTAAAAAAGGAAAAGGAGAGCATTTCTATTCAGATTATGCTTATTATTTGGTGCTCAGGACTAGAGTTGTGCCCTAGTATTTGTCTAGATGACCTGTGTAACAGGGAATTGTGTGTTTGATTTGTCCAGACGCTACAATATATATATATATATATATATATACTACCATCTCTGAAGATTATGACCAGGTCTACATGGAATAAGCACCCACAGATTTCTACCCCACACGTGTTCAATTATTACTAATTTTGACAAATTTGATAATCCTTGAATTGGAATTAAAAGTGTAGTACTGTCATCATCTCCCTTTTCGACATTTTAAATCCATTCCACAGGATTCCCCCCAAAATATTTTCCACTAAATTAAAGCAAAATGACAAAATATCTCTGATTATGGCCAATTAAAAAAATTGCACGAGCATCTTGGAGCAATGCTCCAGAAAAAAATTTAAAAAAAAGAAAGATGTTCCTACATAGAGTGAGTTGTACCCGCTATTTTACTGTCAGCGATAAAACAGCAATGGTCAAATAAATTATTCCATCAACAGTGTTTATTAAACATCTTTTAACACTTATTTTTTAAACTGACCTTTTCACCTGGTTTGCCAGGTGGCCCGGGTAAACCTGGGATACCGCTGTCACCCTAAAGACAAACACACATACACACACACACACAGTGAAAAAAATAATAATTTCAGTAAATTCAGTGAAATAAGTTGTTGATCTACCTGAACTTAAATATACTAAGCAAAATCTAAACTAATCCAGGTAACTAAGATTACCTGGGCTACCAATAAGACAATACCTTACAACAACTTGGTTTTAAATATCAATTATTTAGATCAGTAAGCAAAAACAAAAAAATGGAAACTATTTCGATTAATTTGCTTTATTTCATATTAATCTTGAATTTCATTCCATAGCCTACTTGTGTAATTTTGTCAAATAATCTGCATGCAAAAATTTGCAATGAAAGCATTATTTGAATACATGATGGCTGAATATGTTGCCACAATGAAAATGGTACATTTAGGGATAAAAGGGACAGATGAAAAAAAATCATAGTTTCTTACTGTTTCCCCAGGACTTCCTTTTCCCCCCTTATGTCCATCAGCTCCACGTGGCCCCTGCTCAAACAGAGATAGAAAAGTATCATGATCAAGTGTAGTATGAGGTTTTATAAGTCCATTTCTGACTCTTGCATTCATACCTGCATGCCAGGAGAGCCTTGGATGCCAGGACTTCCTCTAAAACCTGGGACACCCTTCAATCAAGAAAGAGTCTTATGTTAGTCTGACCCACAGTCATGCAAATTAATATAAAGGTCAGTTTTGAAGAACTCAACACAAAAAGGTCACAGCTTTCAATCTTTTCCCACATTATAATTATTCCCAGATTGTATAGGAATCATATAATGAAAAATCTAATTTGCCTTATTCGTTTGCTATGTAGTATGAAAATGTACTGTGTGGCGGGAGGAGAAAACGACAGACACAGTGGGTGTGGCGTCAGGCCTCATAGAGGCTTTTATTTAACAGAAAGTAAACACAAAATGTCCAAAACGGGCAATAAAGTGTCCAAAATAAACGGGAGATCTAGTGTCTAGCTAGAATGCTAAGAAAAAAAAACCCTGAGCTCTTGAAATAATTGCACTGTACATATAAAAATCAATCTCATTAATCAGTTGCTATATAGGTTAATAATAATGTGTTTTATTTAGTTTCAGAAACTAACTAATCTTGGATGTGATTGCATACAGGTAACTGCCAGTAATGCATTCAAACTCAAAAATAACAGCAAGTTCATGAGACAACGTTCATATGAAAATTTCAAAGAGGTCTGGAAGATTTGTCCTGAGTATGCGCTTTATTATTAGTGTCTGCAATCTGAACACGCCTACATGAAAGATCGGTGCAGACTCCTGCTGGATGATGACACTCATGTCTTTGTTTTTGAGACATAAAATAGCCCCCACTGTTTTTTGAAATTCATTCTTTTTTGAATCAAAAATATTGTTGACGTGAGAATGTTTCACAATTCGCTGCTTTTTATGAGATGACTGTATACAGTTGCCAAGACTCAAAGGGCACTATATTCATAAGATTTTCCTCAATAGAATTATTTTATTTATTTAAACAGTTAGCCTTACAGTGACCTTAGACATTTGCACAAAAAAAAGTGAAAAGGTTTTTCCACAAACATGCTATTCAGTACTTTGGTGTCCCTTTACTTATTTTAGTCCCTTGACTTCTTCGTTAAAGGCCATGTTTTTGATGTGGGGATTTTTAATTGTTCAGAAAATTATTTTCTTACATAAAATTTTATTTCTCATTATTTAAAAAAAAATGTTGTTGACTGAGTATAGGTAAAACACATCCTTTGACTGAACATTTGTTGATAAATTAAAAAAAAAAGTTTAAGAGTTACTTCTACCTTATTGGTGGTTAGTACCAAAAGCCGTATTTTCCTGCTTCTTAAAGATATTTAGATTTAGGTAGCTTGAACAGAAATGTTTACTTTAACATTGTGCTAGAAACATTAACTGTTGGTTATTGGTAAATGCTATCAGTATCATAAAATTACATGAGGTGAAATACGCTGTGCATCACTAAAAAACAGCTGTTTATGGTTTAGACGAGCAGGCATATGTGCATAATGTGGACACATTCATAAAGGCATGAAGACTTGCAAGTATGGCATCCAGGTGTTGCGTTATTGCACATTCACTGAACTTTCAGAGCTCTTTAGTGGGTTTTTCATCATTCATGCTCAACAAATTTTTCAGTCAAACTAACTCATACTTAGAAAAACTTCATCTGGAGACAAAATTGCAAAATTGCAAATGCTCACAAACCCATTTACAACTCCTTCCTGCTTTATCTAGTTTCACTCCCTTGGGCAAGATGTGTAGCACTATTATGGAAACAATGACTGTGTTCTCCTCCAGTGTTTTTAAAAAGCTTTTACTGTTCAAACTTGTGTAACTGAGCCCCTATACTAGAAATGAATTCTCAAAGGAATATGAAAATTAAAATATTTATTTTTACCCACATAATTGAAAACTGTGACTATATCAACTTGCAATATCATTCACAAAAAAAGACTAACTTAAACTGTAGTTTAAATAATAAAAATCTTTGTATCCTAAATCTCTCTATGTTTTCTAATAAATATATAAATAAGACCCCTGCGAGTTTTCATGTTTGGGGTTGCCAGATGTCAGGAGTTACCTTTCAGTCAGTCATGTTCTACATTATGTCGACACTGACGTTTGGGGTCTCACTTGGGAGGCCCAATCACCACTGAGTAGTACAAAAAAGGCCAATGAACATTGGCGAGTGGAATATGAATATTTTGCTTTGGAGCCAAGTGGTTGCCCGTGTTTGAGCGATCACACTCCAATTCACCTCGAAAAGAGCAGAAGAAAAGTGGAAACTCTCTTGTTGCTGGTGATTCTGACAGTGCATTTAGCAGTGTTTCGCTGGTATTTGCGATTCTCCCCAGGTGCTTCAGCAAATAAAAGAGCAGTTTTCCTTAAAAGAGCAACATGGGCAACATAAAGATGTCTCTCCATCCGTGCGTTTCTGGATGCTGTTGTTTTTTTGGCCTCTTCTGGTGGCCACGATTGCTGTCTCACATGTCTGGGCTGTAAGTATGCTCAAATGGCATTTATGGATGGTTTATGCTCTCGTTATGAGAGCCCAACCATGGCAACGCTGCGATCATGACTTGCCTACCTCATGAAGGCTTGAGTCCTCTCTGCCACAACTCAGTCCGATCCCTCTGAAATGACCAGGGCCACGCTGACTATTACTCTGGGAGATCAGAGGATTATTGTGTGAGCTTTCTGTTGGGCCAGTCCCCATTGACCTCCCACTCCTCTCGCACGTCATGTGCCATTGAACTCCCGAGTGATGCCGCTTGTCCGTCTCAAGGCCGATCTAGCATGATATTCAGGGCTCCCGAGGAGGATCGGATTTCAATTGCTGCATCGGAGGGTGAGTCAGTGTCCTCTGAGGATGAAGGCTCAGCTAAGCATCACCTCTCTGGGCTGATTGCTCAGTCGGAGTCTCGCTCTGAGTTAATGTTCATGCTTTCCCGGGCCGCCAAGAGCATCGGACTGGAGTGGAGTCCTCCACCCTGTCCCAAGTGCTTGTGGCTGGATGGCTTTCTTCCTGTAAGTGCATGAGGATGTAATAAAGTCATGAAAGGGAAAAACTGCCCGAAACTGCTTCCCAGCCTCCTTCACCCTCATTACCCTTGGTGGCAGGACCACCAGGGAGTATGCAGACATTCGCTAGGCAGAGTGTGCGATTGAGGTGCACTTCTGCCTGCAAAATGCCACTGCCTACATGCCTTGCGTCCAGTGCTGGTGAGCTGATGTCAACTTTAGCTGCTCAGACTTGTCCGCCACTGGACAGGCAGTCTCCGCCCTGCATGCGATAGCCATCCTGCAAGTATATCATAGTAAGTATAAGCAGTGTGACTGACTTTGCCTCTGGGTGACTAAGGTCACAGTGAGGGACATGTGATGTCCACTCTGGTTGTCCAGGAAGGGCATCTCTGGCTGAACCTTGCGGAGATGTGCAATGAGGACAAATTGCGCTTTCTTGACGCTCCCATCTCCCAAGCCGCCTTTTATGGGGAGGACTTGCCCAGCACTTCTTGGCAGACCAAAAACAGAAGGAGGCCATCAAACACATTGTGCCCTGGCATGTGACCACCACCACCAGGCCACCGAGGGCTGGTCCCTAGTCTGCTTTGGCACGGCCAGAACCAATACCGAGCCACCCGTAGGAAGGCAACGCAGCCTGTCCTTCATGCTGCCACTAAACCCACCCTCCATGAGGCAAATAAGAGGCCCTGAGATGGGCAACATAGAGAGGGAGCTGCTCTTTTCCAGGAGTTGATGAATACACTGCTTCTTTCCCCAGAGGAGAGCCGTGTGGAGAGTCTTCTGTTTCATTTTATTCTGTCTGTCTCAACAGCCAGATTCTCTAAGAAAGAGCAGTTACCTTAGTCTCTGGGTCACACCTGGCCCGCAAAGCCTCATCACTCCCAGCCCGCATCTCTAGCCACTCCTTCGCATGATCCATGGAGCTCGGTAAGTGCTATCATGCACTCACTACCCCTTAATCGGGACACAACGCTTCCTGGGTCAGGGTCCAGCACTCCATCGCACTGCACTTCTGTGGGTGCATCAATTGTCCTTTCTTCGATTTCCCTCAAGGTTTGGGCGTACCAGTACAAGGTCCTACCCTGTGGGCTGTCCCTGTCTTCTCGCGTCTTTACCAAAATCGCGGAGGCTGTCCTTGCCCCATTAAGGGAAGTGGGTGTTGCATTCTCAATGCTCTCGAAATTTGTTCTGCACAGGGACCTGGTGATCTGGCACCTCAGTTGGTTGGGGCTTCGGGTCAACTGGGGAAATGCTGTAGAGCATTTGACCATTGCTTCAGGTAGTGACAATTGCATACATCAACTGCCAGGGAGGCCTACATTGCTGCCGCAACTCGCCCGCCATTTCCTCCTCTGGAGTCAGACGCGGCTCAAGTCACTGCGCACAATTCATATTCTGGGAATATGTGCAATATCAGGGAGGACGAGGAGCAGGTCTTGATGGTTGTGCCCTACTGACCCACCTGGACCTGTTTTTCCCACCTGATTCTCCTCCTGACAGCCCCTCCCTGGCGAATCCCCCTGAGGAAGAACCTTCTTTCTCAGGGGCAGGGCACAATTCAGCACCCATGTCCAGATCTTTGGAACCTCAATGTGTGGCTTCTAGATGGGACGCAGAGGACTTAAGTGGTCTGTCAAAGGCAGTGATAGCCATTATCTGCAGGCATTTTTGGTCAGCGAAATGTGCCTGAGACCCCGGTCTGGATACGTGCCTAAAGTTCCCACCAATCTCTTGGAGGAGGCAGACCCAGCCCTTGAGTTTCTGTGTCCCATCCGCCTCCTTGGCATTGGCGCACTGTGCCTCTCTAGCAGACATCTGCAGAGCTTCGGGATGGGCAACACCTAATACCTTTGAGGTTCTACAATGTCCAGGTTGAGCCAGTTTCTTACCATGAGATCTGTTCTTCCTGGTCTTGGTACAAAATAATATCTGGCTCACAACATGCGACAATACTTTTTTAAAAATGTACATTATTTTAAATTTTAAAATGTATGTAGTCTGTAACAGAGCATATGTGTCTAACATAATTTTGTATTTTCAGCTAAGCAGAATAATTAATATTTATATTCTGGTGTCAGCATTGCCCTGCTTATTTGGTGACCAGGAAAAAGGCCAAGTCTATTTAAGTTCATACCTGATGTAATACCAAATTTAGCATTTTTATAAACAGCACTTTTTGTTACCTGTTTATCATTGTATGTCTTAACATGATGTCTTAGAGGTAACAATAAAAAAAAAAAAATCCCATTTAATTGTGAGATCAGTATTGTGTGTATTGGATCAAATTGTGACATTACACCCCTATTATTTATTTGTACATTGCAGGTGCAAAAATCGGAGTCTTTTTTTCTTTTTTTTGTCATTATGACAAAGTGAGAAAGAAATATTTAAGATTTTGATTAGGTCATTAATCACATTTCAGCATTCAATTTTAACTAATTAAACCAAAACATTTCTAACAATATACTATACATTTAAATAAGAATAATAAATGTATGAAATTGGCCGCAACTCGCCCGCCATTTCCTCCTCTGGAGTCAGACGCGGCTCAAGTCACTGCGCACAATTCATATTCTGGGAATATGTGCAATATCAGGGAGGACGAGGAGCAGGTCTTGATGGTTGTGCCCTACTGACCCACCTGGACCTGTTTTTCCCACCTGATTCTCCTCCTGACAGCCCCTCCCTGGCGAATCCCCCTGAGGAAGAACCTTCTTTCTCAGGGGCAGGGCACAATTCAGCACCCATGTCCAGATCTTTGGAACCTCAATGTGTGGCTTCTAGATGGGACGCAGAGGACTTAAGTGGTCTGTCAAAGGCAGTGATAGCCATTATCTGCAGGCATTTTTGGTCAGCGAAATGTGCCTGAGACCCCGGTCTGGATACGTGCCTAAAGTTCCCACCAATCTCTTGGAGGAGGCAGACCCAGCCCTTGAGTTTCTGTGTCCCATCCGCCTCCTTGGCATTGGCGCACTGTGCCTCTCTAGCAGACATCTGCAGAGCTTCGGGATGGGCAACACCTAATACCTTTGAGGTTCTACAATGTCCAGGTTGAGCCAGTTTCTTACCATGAGATCTGTTCTTCCTGGTCTTGGTACAAAATAATATCTGGCTCACAACATGCGACAATACTTTTTTAAAAATGTACATTATTTTAAATTTTAAAATGTATGTAGTCTGTAACAGAGCATATGTGTCTAACATAATTTTGTATTTTCAGCTAAGCAGAATAATTAATATTTATATTCTGGTGTCAGCATTGCCCTGCTTATTTGGTGACCAGGAAAAAGGCCAAGTCTATTTAAGTTCATACCTGATGTAATACCAAATTTAGCATTTTTATAAACAGCACTTTTTGTTACCTGTTTATCATTGTATGTCTTAACATGATGTCTTAGAGGTAACAATAAAAAAAAAAAAATCCCATTTAATTGTGAGATCAGTATTGTGTGTATTGGATCAAATTGTGACATTACACCCCTATTATTTATTTGTACATTGCAGGTGCAAAAATCGGAGTCTTTTTTTCTTTTTTTTGTCATTATGACAAAGTGAGAAAGAAATATTTAAGATTTTGATTAGGTCATTAATCACATTTCAGCATTCAATTTTAACTAATTAAACCAAAACATTTCTAACAATATACTATACATTTAAATAAGAATAATAAATGTATGAAATTGAAGTAAATTAGAAAAGAATGTAAAAAAAAAAAAAAAACATCTTCGTAATGATTTCTGACATCTGGGCACCATTCTGTGTTTATTGACTTGTGACCACACAGTGAAGAGCATCAACCTTTGATCAAAATGTTGAACATTCTTACTTTGAAATGAAATTAATTAAATTAATTAAAACAGCAGAGTTCTTGTATGGTGAATGCATGGACAGTTATATCCTAACACACTTGTGGGGAAGATAATGCATGTTGCAGTCCTGGATACTGCATTGAACACGATATGTGCTCAAGTTAATTTGAGGTTGTATTAAACTGTGTAGTACTCACAGGCTTACCATCAGCACCAGCTGAGCCAGGTAGACCAGGATCTCCTGTTCTCCCCTGTTCTCCCTAGAGAATGTACAAATGATGCATTGTAAATATTATTAACATAATTTAATTGCAAAATTATGATTCATTACAAAAAAATAGATATCTATCTTTTTGTATCTTTGCCAATGGGTAACAGCTAGTTTGGAAAAACAACAACATTTTCAAGCATTTAAGGGGTCATGAAATGGAGAATCAGAATGTTCTTGATATTTACACATATAAGATGTATGTAACAGTTTAAAATATTAATAATTATTTTCAACCCCTTTGAAACAGCAGGATTTGAAATTGGGAAAATCGTGACGTCACAGTTTCCCCCTCGACACACACTTAAATATGCACCATCATGTATGTAATCAATGAGGTGTGTTCTGAACAACTCATGTCTGTCCATCAATCACAAGAGCAATACTGCTGTTGGATAAACATGTGAAGTAAGACCGTCAAACTCAGACACTATTGTGTCAGTGGATGTAAAGAAACCGCAACTCCAAAAACTTTGCATAGCTTTCCTAAAGATCAGGGCTGCATTTCTCAAAAGCATTGTGAGATAAGTTGATTGTAGATTCATTGCCACCAATGGTCTCTACGATCTACCTAGGCTTACAATGCTTTTGGGAAATGCAGCCCAGAGCATTAGAAATACATGGTGAAAATTAAGATGGAGAAATTATCCTTTTTCTTTTTTTTCTTTTACAAATATTTGATCTTTTTTTGGTGAAAAAAAAAAAACTTTATAAACTAAACTTGTGAAAAATAATATAAAAATCTTCATTTCATGAACCCTTTTAAGGCACTTACTTCTTCTTTTTTTCTCTCATGAATGCTTTGCATGATGTAAGAACTTATTTTGGCCTCTTATATGAGAAAATGATGTATGTGAAAATGAACGGTATAATAATAATACTGAATAAATTAAAATGTATAAATTACAGTTCAGTAATGTACTCAATCTGTGTGTAACTCTTTTAATCGCCACATGCAGTCAAGGAAATATTTCCGCAAACTATTTAGAATTCTGTTCAGGGACATTTTACTGTGATCACCTGCTGAAAAGCAGCATGTGTTTTCAAGCATTGGCTTGACCTTATAAACTTCAAACTTGACTTTTGGAGACTTTTATGTGCAATGCAATGACTTTTTATGTAATGAAGAGATTACATAAGTTGTTCTGTTGTATAAACTGACCAAAGGGATTGAGGGATAGACTATTGTACCTTAATTCCTGGGGCACCAGGTGGCCCAGGTGGACAGATGCATGGCTCTGGGGAGTGATCAATGTCACCTGGTCCATTAGCACACTGAAGAAAAATCAACAAAACTTTTTTTTACTACGGTGCATTTCATAAAACATAAAGCATCAGACATAATTTCCTCTTTGTGTTCATAGCAGCCTTTTTGGTTAAGTTATTCAATCATTCAGGAGTACGGCCCAGTAGTTCTAAAATAGCCAAATGACAGCGTTTGAAATACAGCATGACATAATTGTTGAACCTGACATTGACATTAGGCGCTTTAAAGTCAGCATGAAATCAAAATAAACCATTTTTATTTTAATGGAATATTGCACTTTATTATAAATGTTTTATTCATGTATTAATTATTATTATTTTATGAATGTGCCCACATAATCTTGAATCAAAATAACTTTTCCTTCCCCTCACAACAACATCTCTTCTCTGACTCTGATGACTTCTGCACTGGCATGAGTGCAGGACAATAATCCCTCCCCTCCAGCAATGTCACTGACATGAGATCATAGCATTTAGCAAACAACAGTGATCCAATCAATTCCTGATGGCAAGATCAAGTCATGCCCTATTTTTATTTGTATTGTTTCTCTCGTTCAAGAAGCCGGTTCACTCTGAAATATATTTCACAATAGGGAAGAAAAGACAATCTCAAGTTTCATGCCAACTCGAAGCCACCATATGATACACCAAAAAGTATCATAATATTATCATGATTTTTTGGACATGGTACCTTGATAGTACTATGACATGCTTTAAAGTACAGTAGAGTAGCATGGTGCTGCTATAGTAGTTTTATTCAAGCAGTTTCACTGAATGCTTTTGTCAGTGAGAAGGTTCAGACCAGCATCATTCAGCCATACATTCTCAAAGCTGCTGACAGTCCACTGCAAGATTTTTCCAGCTATGACAATACTTAGACACTCCAAAGAAACATGAGGCAAATCTTACCTCTGCGATTCAAAATGAGATTAGCAGTTACTTTTGAAAGCGAGCAAAGCCATCTTCAAAAGTACATACCTCTCCATCCTAAAAATAAAAGGAGCAAAAATACATAAAGGGGCCAGGTCAAAAACCATAACTAAGCTTAGAGGTGCAAGGCTTTACTGCAATGTGCAAGCAGAAAAGGAAAATTGTGTGAAATAAAGTGTTTGCCACAGTGTTTATAAATGCCCTACATCTCTAAACACTGAGTCTCAAAGAGATTGGAAAATAGTGCCAGGTCAAGCAAATTGAGTTAGTGAACTGAGAACAATGACAAAGCCAGTGTTGCACAAAGATGTGATTGACTTTCTAATAAACGGTTCTGAGCAAATATCATGCTCCATATGAAACTGAAAAGATTCTTTTATTTTGTCAGATTAGATAAGATTAGTACATTAAAATCATTCCAAAACATGTTGGACTGGAATTATAAGAATTACAAAAGTAAATAAATGAACAAAGTCCTCTGTGTTTACTGTTTTACTTCTCAGTTTTTAAAGACAGAATTGTCCGGTAATAAGATAAAATATTTTAAATGTCAAGTCACTCTTAATACAATATGACATTAATAGGTGGAACATATTTGAATGGGCCAAAACAGAAACATCCAAGATTCTGGTACTCACAACTCCAGGTATTTCACAGGCAGTTTCTCTGTTATTCTGCTCAGGGTCACAGTAGATTCTGAGTTTTTGTATTTCAAACTGTTCAGGAATAGAGAGAAAGAGAGAGAAATACAGGTAGTTTTAGAAAAGTCAAGGTCTGGGGCTGGGGAAAGGGTGCTCCCTGTTGCATATAAAACACATTTGGTGTCAGCATGACATACTGTCTGCTTTTCCACAGGAACACTGCTGTGTTGCACATTTTGAAAATTTTCCATATTATGTTTATTCTTTGGCAAAAGATCACAAACACACAAATATTCCAATAACTTCCAATATTCCTTTTTAAAATTGTATAATATGCTTTGTAATCATTTTGTTAACTTCATACACCAAAAATATTAAAACCAATATCATATGATTTCTTTTTTCCCTTTATTTATATATTTATTTATTATTAGGGATAAGAATTGATGTTTGGATGAGTGATGTTTGTCGTCCAAAGAAAGAGTAGTGAATTAATTTAACATTTAAATTAGACATGAAACATACACAAAATGATATTACTCTTCAGCTCTCTTGGCACACCTTGTCAATATAGAATCACTATTTTTTTTCTTAGTTTACTCACCATTGTGAATGATGAACGATTTGGATTATGCTTATCTTCACAAAATGACAGCTTTTCAAAAAGATACACTCATATGTGATGATTTGAAAGCATAACTAAACTTTTTACAAACATTAGTCAATCAAACATTTTTTTTTATAGGCTAGGAGTGATGATCGACACATTGATAATAAAATACTATGAATTCTACTACTACTAAAATGTCTGTGTCAACTCAAACTAATTAGCTGAAATCGAAATGTTGAGAAGGTTGAGACTACTGAGTAAGGAAGCTGAGGAACACCTGAGAAGAGATGATGCCAACCCCTCAGAGGACCTCAGATGATGCCAACCCTGAAACAACATACAGAACTACCACATTTTGCTATAAGTTTGATTGCATCATATAATAATTGCTGTTAATAGTGTTCATCGTCTGTTTTATTACGTCTTAAATTGATTTTTCCGTACTGCTGGTTCGTCTGGTCAGAGGAGAACTGGCCCCCCGACTGAGCCTGGTTTCTCCCAAGGTTTTTTCTCCATTCTGTCACCGATGGAGTTTTGGTTCCTTGCCGCTGTCGCCTCTGGCTTGCTTAGTTGGGGACACTTCATTTCCAGCGATACCGTTGACTTGATTGCAAAGATACTATTTAAACTGAGCTGGATGTTGACATCCCTGAATTCAATGATGAACTGTCTTTAACTGAAAAATTTGTGTTTACTATTGTCATTTTGCATTATTGACACTATTTTCCTAATTAATGCTGTTCAGTTGCTTTGACACAATCTGTATTGTTAAAAGCGCTATATAAATAAAGGTGACTTGACTTGACTTGACTACCCTTCTCATGGCAGTCCCAGCGTTTCATTCAGAGATCGCCCAGAGGATCAGTTGTCGATAGAAGCATTGGGGTATAGGCTATCATCCTCTGAAGATGAAGATTCGGCAGGGCTGTCCCCCTTAGGTGCTGTGGCTTCTGCCAAATCGGACCCAGAGTTGACGGGCATGATTGCCTGGGCAGCTGTGAGCATCGGGCTGGAGGCAAATACGCTGCTTAGCCCTGAGCGTTCACGGCTGGACGATTGGTTTCTCGGTGTGGAGCACAGCTCACAACTGTGTTCTGCCCCACTTCCTTTCTTCCCGGAGGTGCATGAGGAGGTCACAAAGTCGTGGAAGGCCCCATTTACGGCCAGAAGCCACTACTTGACCTTCTCCGTCCTCACTACCCTCAATGGCGGGGCAGCTAGGAGGTTCGTTGACGTTCCCCAGGCAGAAAGAGCGGTTGTGGTGCATATGTGCCTCCAAAACGCTGCCACCTGGAGGAATTGTCTGCATCTCCTGTCCAAAATCTGTAAGCTGACGTCAGCTCTGGCTGCCAAAGCTTACAGTAGAGGTCTGCGCGGGACTGTTTTTTTAGTCCCGCTCCCACAAGGTTATAATCCGCACCCACCCACTCCCGCGATATATTCACTCTTTGTTCACCCGCTGTCCGCTTAGAATAATTTACTTCCCGACCCGACCGTTCCCGCTAAATTTAGATCTCTTTACCAGAATCTCACATTTAAATTTCTGCTACTGAAAGAGAGAGATAGGCTAACAAATAAAAGTGTAGTCTGCACAAAATTGTATTTATTTTATTAGTCTTGTCAATACACAAAATTCGTGTAACATCTTGCTGTCAACACAGTAGGAAAAAAGTGTTGCAGAGAAAATAAAAATGTAGGTTGTACAAAAATTGCATTTCTTAGTTTTATTCGTCTTGTCAAGATACAATTCGTTTAACATTTTGCTGTCAACACAACAGGAAAAAGTGTCGCAGAGAAAAAAAATAAGAATGTAGGTTGTATCCATCCACACTTTGCTCTGCCATCTTTATTTTGCTCTGTCACTCATCGACAACATGCCTGTTCTGTCTGATGGCCGTATATTAACCACCGGTTAGCCTGCTCTGAGGACCGTTAGCACGTGCTGTGCACACAGACCCCGCAAATAAAATACATGACGCAGAAAGCACTGGTCCGTGCATGCAGCACATGCATAACAGTCCTGAGCGCAGGCTGTACTGGTGGTCGATAAGAGTGAGTAAAGCGCAGATATGCTGTTCTGAAAGGACGTCGGGAATGGGATATTGTTAGACCGCCCGCTCCCGTTCAAATCGCACCAGAGTTACCGACCACTACCGCATTTTATTCGGAAATGTAATCCCACGTCGCAAGAAATCTGGTCGGGTTTTGCAGGGGCAGACCTCTAGTTTACAGTGCTGCGGGCCAAGCCGACTCATGCCATGGCCATCTTGCAGGTCCACCAGGCCAAGGCACTCAAACAAATGCACGAGGGTATTACTGAACCGAGGTTGTTGCAGGAGCTGTGCACGGCGACTGACTTCGCCCTCCGGGTGACTAAAGTCACGGCGCGGTCCCTCGAGCGGGTGATGTCCACCTTGGTGGTCCAAGAGCGCATCTCTGGCTCAATCTGTTCGAGATGAGAGACGCTGACAAAGTGCACTTTTTTTTAAGACAGGCTTTCTTGACAGGCTGGCCTGTTTGGCGGCACTGTCGAGTAGGGCTGTGCGATTAATCGAAATCGAATCGCAATCGCGATTTGAGACGTTGTGGTTTGCTAATCGCAAAGCCTGCGATGTGGACGTGATATTACTCTGTTCCAGAGCATATGCATAACAGCCAGCCTTGAATGGCAGTCTTACTAACCAACAGAGTGAGCACACCTCCGTTCTCCCCAATCAGCACTGCTCTAGCCACCATTAAAAAAAAAAAACAGAAAGCGGCGGGAGAGAGAGAGTGTGTGATTATGGCATCTACAGGGTCAGATCGATAGCTATGCAGATGAATACTAAAGAAAAACGTATGTAATATGAGATTACTTCGGCTTCTAAATGACAGACACCAAACAAAAAAGGTAACGTTAATTTGCAAGAGCTGTGTCACAACACATATCAAGAGCTCCCGTATCGGTTCTGCTTTCAGTACTGGAGAATTAAAGATATAATCTTAGATGTTTTTATTAGTACATGAACGTTATCTTGCACATTTTATCTCCCCAAGATTCTAATTTGAAAGAAGTTTATTATGCATGTTCGCTATTCCCAATTCAGAAGACCGCACACACAGCATGTGTCTCTGAATGCTTCTCATACTCGCTCCTCTCTGCCGCGACGAGGCTTGATGCACGAGCGCAAACTGTGTCAACTCGCGCCTGGCTCCTCGTTTAAAACAAGTGTAAATTCAGTCTAACTGCTTTGCTAATTTCACTTGGATGAAATTAAACATTCAGCACATTTTCCACTTGTTCTTAAAATCCCAAATACTTACAAATGAATAAATCAGCCTATGTAACCTATGTAATACTTTAATAATTGACTAAAGTAATACAGTTCTTTATTTACACAAAATAAACTAATCTTTCCTGTGAAATTCAGTAATTAAGTAAATTCTGTAAAAGTAGTAATTCCATTATAATATTCCCTGCTGAAAAAAAAACAATAGAACCCCTCCCAAAACACAATAGAAAATGTAATGGATTTAAGGGTTATAATGGGAATTATATTGGCTTTAATGTAAACTATAATGGTGTCTACTGGTATTTGATGGATTCTATTGGTGGGATGTAATCTGGCAGATGGGAAACAATAGAACAACAGTAATTCCTATTGGAACACACTGCCCAAAACACACTACAAAAAGGAATTTTGTAATTGTTTTAATGGAAATCATAAGGATTTCTGTGATGGTTTTTATTGTTTTTTTCAGCAGGGTAACGATACCCATACTGTGCTGCACACTATTGACAATGTTAAGCTGAAGCCTTCGGCCAATCCTGGATCAGCGAGTCTTGAATCAGGCCCTTCACAAGCTTCCATTCAAGATGTTGACTCAGAAGCGCATCCTCAGATGCATCCAACTTCAGGATTTGTTTGCAGCAGTCGACCTGACCTGACCTGGGTGCTAAATGCTATGTGCAGGCAGCCTCGGGGTCCTGGACGGGTCCTCGACTGTTTTGGCACATCAGCTGCCTGGAGTTGCTGACAGTGCTTCTAGCTCTGCGGCGGTTCTGGCCGTGGCTGCAGGGCAAACATGTGTTGGTCTGAACGAACATTGTGGCTGCATTGTACATCAACCATCAGGGAGGTCTACGATCAAGTTGCATGTCGCAACTTGCCCACCATCTCCTCCTCTGGAGTCAGACGCAGCTCAAATCGCTGCACACCATCCACATTCTGGGGGACCTGTTTTTCGGAACTCATGCTCCTCGTGACAGCCCCTCCCTGGTGGATCCCCCTGAGGAAAGACCTTCTTTCTCAGGGGCAGTGCACCTTATGGCACTCGGGTCCAGACCTCTGGAACCTCCACGTGTGGTTCCTGGACTAGACACAGCAGACTTAAGTGATCTGCCACCGGGCGTGGTAGACACTATCACTCAAGCCAGAGCTCCCTCTACCAGGCGAGCTAATGCCTTGAAGAGTCTGTTCGCTGA